CGTTGGTTTGTACATGAAATGCGATAATGTCTAAGAAGTCTGTAGTACACCCAAAGACCAGTAGGGGGTTTAAACGAATGATATGCATGAACATGCAATGGTTTTAGAACAGACTTAGACAAAATGCAGCAGTAAAGTGAGGACCTGACCCTTGCATGGTGCCGTGGGACTGATGCCTGGCGTAATGGGTAGGTCAACTTACGGTTTGTGAGTCACTTGGACACCATCCACAGCGATAGATTGAAGAAAGAAGGTGGTAGGCCGGAAAAGCCTGTGGCTGGATTCCTGACACAGCTCAGCTTAGAAAACCTCATGGAGTAATCAGGTAAAATGGCGTCTGGATGACCCGGAAGTGGAAATCATTCTGATGCTGACCTCAAGCGATATGAGTCAGGTAAGGGGTGTCCCTTATATAGGGGAGTGAATTAATTTAAGCCCCTCCCACAAATACAGGCAAAACTGCCTTAATACATATACACACACACTACACTCTTAACATACACACTCTGGATCCCCTATACACACACTAGATTCCTTGTAAGCAAACACATACTACACCCCTAAACACACACTACATCACCTATATAGACACACACACACACACACACACACACACACTATAGCCTGTATGCACACACTTGCTATATCCCCTATACACACATTCTCTACAGCCCCTAGCCACATATGCATCACATTACACCACAAACACAACATGGCTAAAACCAACCTTATTACACAATACCACACCACAATCAGCTCACTCTACACACACGCAATACCACAAGCAGGCTCCAAACACATGCACAATACTCTTTCCTGGCATTTGTGTCTCCTGGTATCCATTTCTAGAGACACCAGAGAAACACAGTGCAAGCATGTTATTAAATTTGCTTGCACTGTGCAGAACAAATACAGTGCTTTTTTCTCATGCTAGAGCTCTTCAGCAGAGCTCTGCGCATGGTCTGCCCTGGAAGAGCATTGAACCAACATGCTCACTTTGAGAGGGGGAGTGTTTGTCATTGGTGATGACAAAACACACCTCCTCTGCCCCGCCTCCTTCTTAGTGGGCCGCTGTGTTAAAAAAATGCCCGGGCCGAATTTTTCTCCCAGTCCGGCCCTGCTTCATGGCATTATCTAACCTGCTTGATTTAAAACCTTTGGACACCAATACAAATTCTGTCATCAAAGCAGCAATATACATAGCTTTCTATGGATTTCTAAGACCTAGAGAGTTTACTACAACCAACACAACACAATCTGCTCCTATTCTCCTCTAATCCCACTTAACAAAACATATGGATCATTACATCCTAACGCTACCTCACTCCAAAACCAGCCTGCACATACCAGTAAACATTCCATACTACCCCACGCACAACAAGTGGTGCCCCGTCAAGGTTCTGGATGCATCCCTACAGCATCATATTTCAATACCATCACAACCATTACTACTATTACAAAGTTCGGTACTCACCACTACAACCTTCATGACCTACGTCAGGTCTTTGCTCACTCAACTGGGCCTCAAAGCAGCTAACTACTCAGGGCCCTCCTTCCGCATAGGAGCAGCGTCCACAGCCTCCAGTGTCAACATTCCAGTCCATGTTATAAAAACACTGGGGCACTGGAAGTCATCGGCTTACTCACGATACATACCGAACCCAGTACAAGAATTAAGGGATGCTTTCAAAAACGTCTGGTTGATATATGTATCTGTATTGGTTGTCTGTAATAAATTTGATTACTTAAATCTTTGCCCTCTTCTTTCTCAGGCCTACCTCATCGTCGGTTCCGGCACACCACAACCGACTTGCCCTTTTTACTATCCTACATTTAATTATGGTATTTTACTCTGTACTATCATGAGCACCTAACACAAGTATTAAGGCAATTTGCCTGGATTTGTGGGAGGTGCTTGGTATCCACTCCTAGCCTACTTAAGGCACACCCCTTACCTTGCTCCTTACCGTTCGAGGTCAGCGTTGAATGACCCTCCCACCACACCACATTTTAACATTTATTTCCTTTCTATTTCTTTTTCCTGGGTAGGCCCTCTTCTTTCTCAGGCCTACCTCATTGTCGGTTCCGGCACACCTCAACCGACTTGCCCTTTTTACTATCCTACATTTAATTATGGTATTTTACTCTGTACTATCATGAACACCTAACACAAATGTACATTTATACATATGTACCGCAAAACAGGCTTATAAAAGGAAGCATCTGCTTAGATTTCAAAACGGTGTCTAGAATTTGGGAAATAACCTGTCCAGTTATTTATTATTCTATAATACAGATTTAAAGAGTTGGCACGTTAATCTGTGATGCCCGCACAATTATAAGTTTGAAGTAGTAATGTGGCAGGTACTATGAGTTAAAGGTAAGTTCCACCTATTATACTAACATGCATTACATAAGTCAATATTATGAACGTGTTCCGGTATGTTCAAGATATCCAACGGGAAATATTGACTTTCTGTCCTACTATCTGTTCTTTCCAGCAGTGTTACATCTATAATTAAATTCGCAAAGAGACAAGTTGCGATACCACAATTATCAGTTTCATTGTTATATTATCATGATCGTTATGCTAACATGTCATCATTAAATTAAGCTGCTACTCCTCATACTCATATGGCTGGCCAAATGTGGTTTAGTTACCTGTTTCTACAACTATGTTTGATCATTCAGGGCAAATTCATTACTGATATATTCAGCTGATGGTTGGCTTCCAAACACTTGTTAGAGCAATGACAATTCTACTGCAATTATCTGTCCAATTTGTTATTGTATATGTAAACTCTGTGCATCAAATATTTGGCTTGATACTGAACCTAAGTTACATAAAATTTCTGGCTATTCCATGTTGCTACTCTTCTGTTGCTCCACCTATTCTACTCGCAGTTACTTCTCCCATATATATGTTGGTTTTATCACCATGATGCTTACTATGTTCATCATCAATCATTGCTATGTTATATGACTCTGGTTTAGTCTAATTGCTTATATTCATCTTTTTCTATGGCATTCCCCCAGTCAGCTATGGTATTAACCCCTCTATTTTGAAGGTTTATATTGGTTAGCCTCTTATATATTTACTACCTTTCCATAATCATTGTATGGCTCACATGTATGGCAGATTCCAGATTATCAATTGTACACGGAATTCCTTCTCCATGTTATAAGGTATTTCAAGTTTGGACCCCTAGTGGTCTCCCGGTGATTGCTGTCACCTAAATCGCTCATTACTAATTGCAGGTCACAGGTAAGTGGTCCTTCGTTGCCTCTAGGTTTACCATGACAGGTTAGTCGACAAGTAGCCCTCCTATTGGGGCACACAAAACCTAAGTTTTCCTCGCTTATTTAACGATACAAGAGGCTTGACTTTTGATGTTTGACCCATGCATGGTCCACCCTACGTATACATTCTACTGTTTTCCCTCAATTATGACACAGGCTCTTCTACACCTCTTTCGTTTACCTATTTCTCTGGCCAAGTTTTAGTACAGCACATTAACAACATTTGCTATAATTTCGTTACTACGGTTTACTTTTGCCACCTTAAACTTAATTATTACACAACCACAAATATATCTCATTCATGAAATATGTCAGAACATTAAGCAAGAAGACCAGGCCTTAACCCTTCCATTATTCTAGTCACTCTTTAGGGGCGGTTTCCATGGGTTTTCAGGAGGTTTATCTGAACCAGTCTAAGAAATACGCAATGCCCTTAACCCCTTAAGGACACATGACATGTGTGACATATCATGATTCCCTTATATTCCAGCAGTTTGGTCCTTAAGGGGTTAATGAATGTCTGGATAAGATATATGTATATTGTTGACTGTAGTAAAATGGCAGGAATCTATTTTTGCCCTCTTTTTATTTACAGGCCCTACCTCATCGTCGGTTCCGGCACACCACAACCGACTTGCCCTTATATTCTAACTACTCTTATACTTATCTCTTACTCCATATACGGTCGTTTTGTCCCTAACACAAATATATATATTACAGTTAAAGTGAGAAATCAGTTAATGTGCACATTAACATGTGTTTTATACTCAGTGAAAAAAGAAGAATGTTACATAACTTACATTGTATTCAATTTTAAATAAAAAGTATACAAACATAGCCAGGATTCAGCTGTAAGCGTTTGCAACACTTACAACAATCAAGTAACACACATTCATATAAGTTACTTGGCCAGTCATGTAATGACAGGAAAGAATAAGTAGAGAACTCGCTAATTCCCATGGTATTAGGGAGCTATCTATTAAAAGGCTGAAAGATCTAAATTGGCCTTTCAGACAAATTTACTAATACTAAGTAAAGATTACTGTAACAGAACCGCTGGCACCCCGACTGGGTAACTTCCGCTGACGGATGCTCCTAGTGCTTTCTGGTCTCCAAGCACTCCACTGGACACCATAACCACTGCAGACTCCCACAAACCGCCGCAGCTTGGTTGGGGTCTTACCGTCTCCACCCACTCTGGACCCAAGACCAGGGTCCAACTTCCAGTAGGTCAACCTCTCCGAATTCCAGAGAGCAGGAACAGGAACAAGCTCTTAGCAGAGCTTCATGATTATACCCTGGGGAGTATAGTGATTATAGCAATCCCCAGAGTGTAGTTCTCCAATCCCCCAAACATGAGCTGAAACTTCATGAAGGTACAAGATGATTTGACTCCAATGAGCGTTTATTACTCCTTATATACAAGTTTTCAGGCCAGAGGCACACCCCCTGGACCTGGTGGTAAACTGTGACAAAAGGGACACAAACCAATGGGGACACTAATAACACTCTCACATAATAACACTCTCACATACACAATGAAATCCCTCCTCTCCATCCTAGAGATAATTGGCTTAAGGCACTGCAGTAAACTCAATTATCTCCAGGTACAGAAAATATCTACATTTTACACTAACAGCAAAAATACGTAAAAGTACATAAAAATACATAATTCTTATTATATTACACAGAACCCCCACATTGAAATCATTTTAAATGCCCCTCTCCCATTTAATTTTACAGTCAGTTTGTAATCTGTAGCCAGTAAAGATATTGTATGTTATATTCAGGGAAAATGTAAAAACAAAAAAAATAATATTGATTTTATTTTAATACAGTATCTTAATTCATTGTAAACAAGTTTGTGAAAGGATGGATAACGCGTTTTACTCTGTGTTCCAGATTCATTGATGCTAACTGAGCTATAATGATGTTCACCCTGTTATCTCGTTATGCCTATGGAGATTAACCCTTTCAGGGCTTGTAAAGCCTGACATCTATTGCAGGGCAATGGGTTGCAGACTTTACAGCTATGAAGACATAAGAATATTGTAGAAATTATATGAGAATTTCTAATTTACTGCCAATTGGTTAGTTTAATGGTCATTTTCAATATACATGACCTTTGCTTAAGCCAAATATGTACCAGTGCAATTATTTATTTTACATGCAGTTCTGCATTTCAGGCCACTAAAATGTGCTATTTTATATGGCAGAAATAGGTGGCATATTTTATAATATTTTTGTTTATTTAAGGCAACAAGCCTCGAATGTTATTTTTTCTTTCCTACGGAATATGTTCTTATGCCATCCACCCTTCTTGCCTTTGTTAATGTGGACGCACAGTGCTTTCACTATGCATTTCAGGTTTATTGTGAATCTGCACATAGTTCAAGTGGTTCACACATACCCACAACTATTTTGTGGATAGAGAAGTTTTTGTTTTTGCCAGTAAGGGTACAATACCTCAATAAACTAAAATCATAGAATCAGACATTTCATTGATGACACCGGCCTGGAGATTGTATATATTAAAAGATGTAAAGTATTACAAGAACCATATCATTTGTAAATGATAACGCAAAGGTGTGTGTTTGTATGTCTGCTTCTGGGCCAAGGCAAGTATTTATTTGTAAGTATGATGTAAAACTCTACCCAAATAAAGTGTTGAGCTATTTTAAATACTTTTTTGTTTTGAGATCTTGTATTTTGTTAACCTCTATAACTATGAATATATTATTGAAAGAAAGTACATTGTCCAGTTTTTTTGTCACACTTTCAAATTGTTTTAAAATATTTAATGTGCTCGATCAATATTGAATAATTCCAAAATGCATATGTCCGACTGAAAATGTGAGTGAAAATTGTATTTCACCAGTTTGCTAGTTTCAAAATCTGTCAGGGATCTAGTTTTTGTTGCCCAAGTGAATTGTGCTACATTTATAGACCTTGGAAGGATGAACGATTAAGTTGACCTCACCAGGAAATCAAACCTGTCAATCTGAAATGCAACAACTGACTTAATCATTGAACTCCCTCATCCACTTTTATTTCTAGTGTATCCATCTTCATCGGTTTCCAGATTGCAAGAACCCCATTCTTTTTTTATGTGTTGTAGGACCCTAATATGTCTTGTGAAAAACCTTTACTCCCTTACCCCACCAAACCATTCTATGTTAAATAGAATGGATCTGAGCACCCAATCTAGGTGAACAGCGCTCAGATCCCATGAACAGAGTAAATTTGCCATGGGGTAAAGCATAGCAAGGGCAGTTGAGAAACCAAGGAGGGACAAAAGCAGTCCATTCCAACTGGTTTGGCAGTGTGCCTGGGACAATGAAACAAACATAAACACCACAAACTCAGTGCTCTGATAGTGTAAGTTACTTAACTTCAATTAGTATGCAGCCTCCCAAGATCGTCATCCACAACAAACCATCTTTACATATGCATAGAACCACAAACAAAGTTTGGAACATGGCTGTATAATCTATGGAGAGAACATACAAAAAAACAAAATAGTGTAATACAGTATATATAGTGGATCGTGCGCTTTAAATGAATGCACTCACAAGATGATGAAAAGAAGAGCGTTCATAAGGTGCCTCCCCTGATAGTATGGGGGGCTAGTGGTTCCCCTTGCCAACGCGAAGCAGCCAATGGAACACGGGACTCCAGGTAAGTAATAATCAAAGATCCAATAATTTTATTTTCTTTAAAAGGTGAAATACACCATAAAGATAAAAATTAAAAATGCAGCAATAGGTCCAACGCGTTTTGTTCAAACTAGAACTTCCTCAGGGACCGCACAATAAAAAGTAACATACACTATCAAAAATTGTAACATAATGCATCCTACTCCCCCCTTAACATAATCCCTATAAATAGGGCTAGTCCCAGTGTCCCATTGGTCCATACTGTAGGAGTTTTCCAATAGCCAGTTCTTCATTGGTCCTGGGATAGCTCCTTCCAGCTGATAATATTTTCAGCACTTGTGTAATTCAAATTTGGGCGCGTTCAGTGAAAAAGATGAAACCGGAAGTAGACATGATCTTTTACTTCCGCGTTCCATATGCGTTAAAAATGTGTTCCAAGTGCGTTCCAAGTGCGTTCCATCTCTCTATCTTAACCACATCAACAAGGAGCAACAATACAAGTGATCCCACAAACGGCTATGTAGCCAAAAAATAACAAATTAACTTAATACAGTTAATCTCTAAATTAAAAAAGAGAAATGGGTTAGTATCTTAAATATAAACAACAAGAGTATCAAAATAGCCACTGCAAAATTTAGGCATATATTTTATAAGTGTATATTTCAATAACCTACACCATTTCATAATTCAAAGCTGTCTATTTAAAGTGACACACACATCCTTACTATATTGAGAAGCCATAATCAATTATTTATTATAAATGTTCTCTCAAGACATCAAATAATTCTCATTTTATAGTTTATAATTTCATTAGTACACATATCTGCATTAAGAAAAGCAGACAACAATTCTGCATTTTTTTAATATATTTGTATTATTTATATTTATAGAAATACATACAAAATAATGACAAAGAGAGGGAAAAAAAAGACCCAAGAATCAGTCCAAGAAACACACTAAGTCAATCCCAATATTCAAACCCCTAGGTTCAAGGGTCTTGAGTTTATGTATCCAAAAAGTTTCCCTTTGGGATAACTTTTTGACCCTATCGCCCCCACGCCAGAATGGAAGAATATGTTCAATGCCCACACAACTAAATTCTCTAAAAGAAAAAAGGGGACAGTTACTACAATGGGCCGAAACCAAATGGGTAACCAATCCCTTACGAATGTTGTTTAGATGTTCCAAAATTCTAACCTTCAGGGTACATTTTGTTCGACCCACATATTGTTTGCCACACGGACACTGCAGTAAATATACTACATGGTCAGTGTGGCAGCCTATCTCCATTTTGATCTTAAATGTTTCCCCTGTAATTATACTGGTAAATTCCTTAATTCTCCCCTTAAGGGCAGTGGCACAAGCTTTACATGAACCACATTCCCTAAAGCAACCTGAAACAAGGGTTCTATTTGATCTATTTGTCTTAAAAGCATAGCTAGGGGCTAGCATATTTTTTAAGTTTTTATTCTTTTTGAAAATCACCATCGGATGTTCAGACAAGGAATTGCCCAAAATTGGGTCCTGTTGTAAAATGGGCCAAAAATCACTAAGGCTCCTTTTGATCTTAAAATGGTCAATATTATACTGGGTGACAAAAGCTGATTTAAAATTGATGTTCCCCACAGTCTCAGGGACTTTGTCCTCCAAAAGCTTGCTACGTTCAAGAAGGCCAATAGATTGAATTTCTTTTTCTAAAGTGTTCTTATTATAGCCCCTTGCACACAGTTTATTTTTTATGTGGGAAGATTGAGTCTGAAAATCTTGAGAACGAGAACAATTGCGCCTAAGTCTGGTGAATTGACTTCGCGCTATACCCCTAAGCCAAGGCTTATGGTGGCAGCTTCGTTGATGTACGAAGCCGTTACCATCCGTTGGTTTAAAAAAACATTTAGTTTGAATTTGGCCCTGGTCACAAAAACTTTCCAGATCCAAAAAGTGGATCTCATTCTTATTCCACTCCGGGGTGAATATTAAATTGTATAGATTGGAGTTGAGGTATTGAACATATTCAAAGAAACTGGTTGAAGACCCCTTCCAAATGATGATCACATCATCGATATAACACCGCCAGAGCACCAGTTTCTCCCTCCAGTCATGCCCCGACCACACGAATAATTCCTCCCAGCTCCTCATGTAGGTGTTGGCATAACTGGGGGCGAACCTGGTGCCAATGGCGGTCCTTGTGATCTGGAGATAATATTGATCATTAAAAAAGAAAAAAATGATGTTCCAAAATAAATTTAACTGAGGTCAATATAAATTCTCTATGACCCTGAGATAAATCCAAGTCTTGGGACATATAGTAATCAAGAGCCTCCAGTCCTAGTCTATGACTAATTACCGTATATAGAGAGGTCACGTCCAGCGTGGCTCAACTGTATTCGGAATCCCATTCTATACTGTCTAATTCTTGCAGGAAAGACTTGGTATCACGTATGAATGAGGGTGCCCCCTGAGCATATTTTTGAAGGAAAGAGTCCACATAAGAAGACAAATTAGCAGTAAGAGAATTGACTCCACTAATAATAGGACGACCCGGTGGATCAGGGAGGCATTTATGGGTTTTTGGGAGAAAGTAGAATATCGGAATTACTGGATTATTTTGAAATGATATGATTTCATTATCTCTAGCTGCAATCAAAATTTTCTTAAGTTCTGAATTATAAGACAAAGTAGGATTATTTTGAAGAGTGATATATGTTTTTTTGTCCCCTAAAATATTAAGGGATTCTTTAAAATAATAAGAAGTAGTCATCAATACTATGCCTCCCCCTTATCATCCTCTCTGATCACCAGATCCTCTCTTTCCATAAGATGTTGCAGAGTAGCTCCTTCCCTCTTTTTCTGGCGTGTGTCTCCTAGGGGACAAGGGTCTCTGTCTATTCCAAGTTCTGGGATAATTAATAGATCTACTATCCTTAGATACATAATTGGCCCTATAATTGGTTCTAGATCTCAAATTACTTCTAGTTCTATTAGGTGTTCTTGGAATCATCTTTTTAAAGGGAACATAGCGTGATTTTTTTTCTTATTAGTTTATTACGGGTGGAAAAACTATTAGTCAATTTATCCTCTTAATCCCTGCTGTACTTCCTATTCTTTGTCTCAGCTATATTCTCATCAAGTTTTTTAATGTTAGTTTGCAAAGTTTCATCACTCTCTTTAAACTCTCTTCCCTCTGTATTAATAGGGGGATTAGAGTCAAGTTCAATTAATTCAGTTTCCAGTTTACTCTATATCTAATTATGAGTTGTATTAACTGAAAAGAACAATTGGTGAGAATTAAATCCCATTCCTGTAGGAAGAGGTCATCTTCCAGTCCAAAAGCCGGTGTTTTATCTATTCTTAGACCACGTGGGATTAAGCCTTCCTTAAGATAATTTTCCAATAATTTTACCAAGATTCACCACACAAGAGGGTGAGAACAGAGGATTAGACCAGATTTCCAGTCCCTCTTTTTCTATGAAAAAGGAGGAGAGGGATAGAGGTATTTTTAATTTAACTGGAATTCCCCTTACACTCGAGGAGATAGATTTGCTCTCAAAGGAGATGAAATTTGCCCCTAATAAAATGGCAAATGATTTTGATCTTTACATAGACCTTAAAAAATGTATTCGCTCCTTAACTATATGAAGACATTTTCTTTTACATTCCTCCACAACTGACATGGATTCGAATATTGGAGATAAAAGAGATGACTATAAATTCCGACCTAAATCACATTTTTTCCCAGTCCAAAGTAAAGGTCCCTTTTTGGAAACCTTTGAATATATGGTTGATCAGGCTTTTCAGTCTATTATTAAAGAAAGAAAGAGAGGATCATGTTCTTTCAATTTAACAAAGAAGGAAGGAGCTACTCTGCAACATCTTATGGAAAGAGAGGATCTGGTGATCAGAGAGGCTGATAAGGGGGGAGGCATAGTATTGATGACTACTTCTTATTATTTGAAAGAATCCCTTAATATTTTAGGGGACAAAAAAACATATCACTCTTCAAAATAATCCTACTTTGTCTTATAATTCAGAACTTAAGAAAATTTTGATTGCAGCTAGAGATAATGAAATCATATCATCAAAAAAATTTAGATTTTTTATTTCGAAAGAATCCAGTAATTCCGATATTCTACTTTCTCCCAAAAACCCATAAACCCCTCCCTGATCCACCGGGTCATCCTATTATTAGTGGAGTCAATTCTCTTACTACTAATTTGTCTGCTTATGTGGACTCTTTCCTTAAAAAATATGCTCGGGGGCACCCTCATTCATACGTGACACCAAGTCTTTCCTGCAAGAATTAGACAGTATAGAATGGGATTCCGAATACACTTGGGCCACGCTGGACGTGACCTCTCTGTATACGGTAATTAGTCATAGACTATATGTCCCAAGACTTGGATTTATCTCAGGGTCAAAGAAAATTTATATTGACCTCAGTTAAATTTATTTTGGAACATACTTTTTTCTTTTTTAATGATCAATATTATCTCCAGATCACAGGGTCCGCCATGGGCACCAGGTTCGGCCGAGTTATGCCAACACCTACATGAGGAGATGGGAGGAATTATTAGTGTGGTCGGGGCATGACTGGAGGGAGAACCTGGTGCTCTGGCGGCGTTATATCGATGATGTGATCATCATTTGGAAGGGGTCTTCAACCAGTTTCTTTGAGTATGTTCAATACCTCAACTCCAATCTATACAATTTAATATTCACCCCGGAGTGGAATAAGAATGAGATCCACTTTTTGGATCTGGAAATTTTTTGTGACCAGGGCCAAATTCAAACTAAATGTTTTTTTAAACCAACGGATGGTAACGGCTTCGTACATCAACGAAGCTGCCACCATAAGCCTTGGCTTAGGGGTATAGCGCGAAGTCAATTCACCAGACTTAGGCGCAATTGTTCTCGTTCTCAAGATTTTCAGACTCAATCTTCCCACATAAAAAATAAACTGTGTGCAAGGGGCTATAATAAGAACACTTTAGAAAAAGAAATTCAATCTATTGGCCTTCTTGAACGTAGCAAGCTTTTGGAGGACAAAGTCCCTGAGACTGTGGGGAACATCAATTTTAAATCAGCTTTTGTCACCCAGTATAATATTGACCATTTTAAGATCAAAAGGAGCCTTAGTGATTTTTGGCCCATTTTACAACAGGACCCAATTTTGGGCAATTCCTTGTCTGAACATCCAATGGTGATTTTCAAAAAGAATAAAAACTTAAAAAATATTCTAGCCCCTAGCTATGCTTTTAAGACAAATAGATCAAATAGAACCCTTGTTTCAGGTTGCTTTAGGGGAAGTGGTTCATGTAAAGCTTGTGCCACTGCCCTTATGGGGAGAATTAAGGAATTTACCAGTATAATTACAGGGGAAACATTTAAGATCAAAATGGAGATAGGCTGCCACACTGACCATGTAGTATATTTACTGCAGTGTCCGTGTGGCAAACAATATGTGGGTCGAACAAAGCGTACCCTGAAGGTTAGAATTTTGGAACATCTAAACAACATTCGTAAGGGATTGGCTACCCATTCGGTTTCGGCCCATTGTACTAACTGTCCCCTTTTTTTCTTTTAGAGAATTTAGTTGTGTGGGCATTGAACATATTCTTCCATTCTGGCGTGGGGGCGATAGGGTCAAAAAGTTATCCCAAA